TTTCTCATATTATTGTTCACTCTGATTCTAAAGCTAATCTCTCTGATTCGAAAGTTATTCTAGATTTAATAGCCAACAATTTCTTTGACTCACGTATCCTTTTTCCTACTATGATTGATTGCATATTATTAATCTAGCAAATTCATATGATCAAGTTTGAGCATGCCTTTCAAGAGACAAATAGAGTTGTGACTGTTTGGTAGGATGGGAGCATTACAATCGAAAGTTTTGGGTTGCATCCTCAACCTCTCTCTAACCTCTAAGATTTTTTTTTGTTTATATGATCTGAGAGGAGTTAGATTTCTCTTTTTTTTTGGGCAAAATGGCAATTGTTTACAATGACTCATTTACTAGGGAGAAGGAGCTAGACATACCCAACTAGATCATTGGGAATCTAAAACGGAGTAAGCGACCTCCAAATTATATCAGTGCACCATTGTATGAGAGAATAGTTGTTAGAAGTCTTGCATTGTAATACACCCCATCCTACACTAAACTTCCCTACCTATACTGAAGGAAGAAGGAACTTGAAGTCCCAACCTACACTAAACTCCCCAACCTATATTGCATTGTATGAAAGTCCCTTCTTTGTAGTCACTGGACCAAAGGCTTGTGGTTGGAAGGAGTAAGTTTTCTCAGCGGAATGCAAAAGATATTTTTGACTAATTATTAATACCAAAAAAAAGAACTTGATGAATTACCAAAACTTCAAATCAGTATTAGTGGCAAATGAGATTAGCACTCTAGAAAAAAAAACTCTACGCACTCTGCTTTTTTTCGCTTAATGAATTGACACAAAAACCTACAAAATATTTTAGGAGATGAATATACCCCTCTATATACTTATTTAGTAAATTTGGCTACTTTATCTCCTGAATTTACTTAGTTTTTCCTACTCCTAAATTAGTCTTAAATTGTTATATAAATAATGATGTAGGAAATTCCTAACGGCAATGATCAATTGTTTAATAGTCCTTGAGTAAAAGACTATAATTTTTGTGTTGGAGTGGCTTACTGCTTTTGGGTTTGTTTAGTATCTTTTAGGTGGATTTTTACAACATTAAACTTGTTGGAGGGTTTTTTTTAATTAAGACTTTGCAGTCGATAATGTGGTCATCTCCATAAAGACAATGCAAAAAGGTCATTAAGCTAGGCTTATTCTCAGTTAATTATTTTAGCAGACTATAGATTCTAATTTTGAATAATCAATTTTTAATACATTTTTGTTTGCTTTTATAATTAGAATATATATTTTTTAATAATAAAAAGTTAAATCCTATAATCACTCGAAAACTAGTTTTTGTTAATTTTGATTATTCTTTATAATCACTTTCCATAAAAAAATTTGTAAAATCTAAAACAAACAAGAATAAGGCCTATGCCTTGAGGGTAATTTTTTTGATATTTAAGTGGCGTTTGGTTCGCTCCTTGGAATCGGATTCGCATTTAGGATCATTCATCCTGGGTTTGGAATGGAGTCAATCATTCCACTATACCTATTTGGTTCAGTACCAGGAATGCATATCATTACTACAATTAATGTTTGGTTCGTTGGCTCTTTCGAAATGGGATATAAGAAATTTTCACTAATTAAATATATTAGTAAATTTAGTATAACTAATTAATAATTTCTATTAGTAAACATATATAATTAATAGTATAATTAATAATATCAATTATATTACATATACTAATATACATTATATAATACATATAACTAATAAAATCATTATTATAAGTTTGTAACTAATTAAATTAAATATTATATATAATTAAATATAATTATACTAATATTATTATATAAATATATATGATTATAATTATACTATAATTATAAAAATAATTATTATATATACTATAATTATAATAATAATTATTATACTATAATTATAATAATAATTATTATACTATAATAACAATAATAACAATAATAATAATAATAATTATAATTATATTATACACATATACTATAATTATAATAATAATTATTATATATTAATATATTAATAATAATAAATATAAATATAAATATATATTTATATAATGTATTATTATATACACATAATATATATTTATAAATAATATAAATATATTATTATATAATATTATAATTATATTTAATTAAATAATTATAATATATTTATATAATATATTATATATGTATATAATGATATATTATAATTATAATTATATTGACTATATATATGTGTATTATAATAATTATAATATATATTTATATAATATATTATATATGCATATAATGATATATTATAGTTATAATTATATTGACAATATATATGTGTATGTAATAATTATAAATATAATTATATTTATTATTATAAATATATTATATAATTAATTATTATAACTATAATATATATTATGTATATAATTATATATTAATTTTTTAATGGGTGGAGGGGTGGGCCCCGTTTCTAAGCGGGCAAAAAAATTCCTTCTCCCTCCCCCCGCGACCCTATTAACCCCCCGCGAGACGGGTGCTCCAATTGCAGCCCTAGTTTTTGATAAATTAGTTAGGAATCAGACTTGGGTTTTGTCCGAAACCCACAAGGTCACTAGGGAATTGGGAAACTCCAAATTTTTAGATATGATTCCGAAATTTCAATTCCGATAGTAGTAATCAAAACAACAATTATGGGGTTTATTCCAATTTTCCATTCCGAAACCCTCTTACCAAACGCCACCTTAAATTGTTAAAGAGTTCAGGTTATAGACTTTAACATTGTTTTGAGAAACAATGAGAAATGATGAACTGTTTGGAGCATTTTTTTGAGTACCAATGTCATCATTTGTAGGAATGGCAACGGGCAGGCAGGCCACTACTTTCTCTTCCCCCCCCCCAAGCGCTGCAGCCAAGTTAATAAAAATTTGTCATAAAATTTCATTGTAATCAAATTTTAACAAATAATTAAGGACTAAAATATCACCATATCACCAAGTTATTATCTATTATAATTTCACAATTGAAATCCATAAAAACAATCAAACAAAAACTATTTGAATACAATCCAACATGATGAAACAAATACAGATAAAGTAATCAAGTTTTCATTTTTGAAATAAATACAATCACTAAGTCAGTATTGTTTTTTTTTTAGAAAAAAAGTGTTATTATACTAAGTGTAATTAGAAAATTTTTATAAATATATTAATAAATTTAATATAACTAATTGATAATTTTTATTAATAGACATGTATAATTAATAATATTAATTATATTATATATACTAATCTATATTATATAATACTTATAACTAACGAGAAAAATGGATTCATATCCACCAATCCATCCATATAAACCAACCCTAAATGGATTTGGATGATCCATATAAATTCAATGGTTTTAAATGGATAACCATTTAAATCCAATTATGTTGGTGGATTTAAATGGATTATCCATCTTATCCATATACATCCATTTAACTTAAAAAATAGAAAATACATTTATAAAAATGTGAGATAAAATCTTGTGGGACCATCTATTCTTTTCTTCATAACTTCCTCATATGTCAAATTAATTTTGTGGGACCACCTATTCTTTCCTTCATAACTTCCTCACATGCCAAGTTGCTAATAACATTAATTGCATTTTATTTGCTTCTATTTCCTAGACTTCTTCCATCCTTTTCAAAATTATATTTTAGTCTCTACTCTTGTTTTTTTTTTAATTAAACTCTCTTGTAGTAATGATTGCAAACATTTATATTCTTAAGTAAAGAAAAAGCGAGAATGCATCATGCAGTGTCAAAATAATTTTTATTTTTTAATTCTTTTATTTATAAAAAGAATTTTTCTAACGAGTGTCCTCGCAACATTGGTTAAAATATGTAAATGACACTTTTTTTTTTCCAAATCCTCATACTTGCAATCCCTCTCCCCTTATCACCTAACCCAATTATCCAAAAAAAAAGACACCTAATTTACTAAGTAATATAAGGTAGCTTGTATATCAATGGTATAATAAGGAGTTTCATACATTTTTAGGTACTACGTGCACATGTGATGAAAATATTTTACTTGTCAAATAACATAAGATTTCTTGTTAGAACTCCACTTTTATTCAAGACATCACTCTTGAACAGGAGTGCAAAAAATTGGAAACGTAAACTTCTTTTCACTGTAAAGCCGTATTCAATTCATTCAATAGTTATAAAAATGTAGCCAAGTTCTTAATTGTTCATTACTTTACAAAATGATACTTAAAGTAATGACGAAAGGTTAAATTGACCACAGCAGTTAAATTTTCTTGGAACTAAACTAATTTTATGAAGTACTAAAATAGAGTAGTAGTACAAGCATTTGTTATTACCAAAAGGTTTTAGGTGATTTAAGGATAGAACTTTGGGGATCTGTATTTATTGGAAAAAAATATTTGGATCTTAAATTTAGGATTTGGGAGAGTAAATGGATAAATGGATGGATCATGGTTTACATTATCCATTTAAATGACATCCATTTAGATCCATTTATTAAATGGTTTTAATTGGATTGGATCAATTTGATCCACTATTTATTTAACTAAAACCATTTATCAACCATATATCCATTTTGCCACTTCTAGCTTATAAGACTAGAACGAGAAAAAGTTTCCCCAACCCACAGGTCCGAGTCAAATAGCAATGATTCGAAGCACTTCTTTTTATACTATTTCGAAAACCTAAGGACTCAATCGTATGGATATGAAAAATACAGGATTTCTAATCCTAGCAGGAAAAGAATACTCACTTTAAAGGAAAGGAATACTCAATTTAAAGTGAGTAAACAGAATTCCATACTCGATCTCATAAATACATATAGAATTTTACGAAAAGCCGTATTCGATGAAAGTCATATGTACGGCTTGGAGGGAGATCTTTCGTATCTTTCGAGATTCACCCTACAATATGGGGTAAAAAAGCCCCCAAGTGCCTTCATTTGCCGCATTAATAAGGTATATCTGAAATCCATCTTGATAGTGGTACATCTTACATACATTAAACCTCCGAGCCCCATGATTGTAATTACATCTAAAGTACCCCAAGCGTTCCCTTCTGGCCTTTAGCCTTCATTGGACCCTTCTTCGCATCCCTGCTTCCTTCCCCATTCAGGTTCTGATTAGATGTTTTACAGTGCCAAGAATTCTCGCAAACCTCACTGAGTCATCCCTAATAGGTCGCCGTCGAGATCTTTCTCGTGGTAACTTCTTTCACTATGTGTTATTTCTGCATTTCTTTGGCTATATATCTAGATTTTTCCCAAATTTGAATTAGCTGTGAAGGAGAAATTGCAGAAAAGTACAAGGGTTTTTCGAGAGGGACTGAAACACTTAAGTTACGTATAAAGACCTTTAAATTGGGGTTTTATCTTTGTCTAAAAAGGAAGGTTTTGCATTTTGAGGTGTTGTTGGAGGTGTAGAGTTTATAGAACCAAAACGAAAAAGAAAGGGAAAAGAAGAAGCCCATGTTTTGGAATTGCAATCCTGGGTTTTGGTCTTAGTATTTGTAGGTGTCACTTTTTGTCACTTTTAGGGTTTTAGGTGGTGTAATTTTTTTTTTTATTCTTGTTTTGAGGATTTAACTTTTCTGTTACTTGGAATTAATGGGCTGGGCACTGACTCTATGTTCCTGTTAGTTACTGTAGTTGTGGGTTTCCATTTTTTGGCCTTTTTCCCCTTGGGGTGGTTGTAAGTGTCTAATCTGTGCGCTGCATTGTTGTCTAAAGCAGCTAGTGAATTGGGGAAGAAGCATGAGTGCACGGAAGAAGACTCCGTTTCAGAAACATAGAGAAGAAGAAGAAGCAAAGAAAAAAGTATTAGTCTTTACATTGATTACTTTTATTTTACTGTGTATGTTGTATTCCACTTATATAAGAAAGATATGTGCATCTTATAGCGAGCAGAGGATGAAACGGCTCGTTTATATCAAGAGTTTGTGGAATCATTTCAAGCAGATAATACGCCTGGTTCTAAGGCATTTGTTAGAGGAGGCTTGATCAATCCCAATGAGAGGATGAAGCCTGATACTGAAGGTCCGTTGCAAAGACAATTTTGTATTAATTTCTTAGTACTTTCTTTGTTTATATAAACTGTAGTTCTTTTACTCGCTATGGAATAAATGAATCTTTTCCTTTTATATGGATGTGTTAATAAAAATATGGGCCTTTTTTATTCATTCACGGATGGCAGGTGGAAATTCCAAAGATGAGGTTTCTGGTTTAAAGAAGGGGAGTAGGTAAACAAATGCTTTTGATCACCTATATTGCAATGCTCTTAGATAAGGCATGCTGAATACAAAATTCTTTTGGTGATGATATCATCGGATGCAGATTTTACTGCTTTGAGCTTGTAAAATGTAACTCCTGATTTGCAATTAATAAGTTTACTTCTTTTTTGCATTTGTAGCCTATTAGTTGGAAATAGTGAAACAATGACTTTTATGTATAGGCGTGTAAAGAAGTTAAAATTTTGCATTTAGCTTAATCGGGAGGCGAGGTTTTGCTGAACTTAGGTTAACTTTTATATTGTTTTATGATGCAAAATTTGAAATTTTAAATCTTATAACACCTTTCTTGGCCTGTTAAAATTCCAGAGTTAGTTGTTTCAGTTTTAAATAGTTCCTTCTACTTCAACCTTTGTTCAATTGAACCTGTTTAGGGTATTTGTTCTCGTCCAATGTCTCTAGTGCTGTTCAAGAGATTCTTTTGCTTGCTGATGAGTTTTTGATTGAACTAATATAGTTATTCTGGTTTGCCTGTCTTTTTGTTTGGCTAAGTAGTCTAAGTGTAGCAACCCTTCTCCAAATTGGATGCCTTCTTGCTGCAAGTAAAATTCTTACAATGTCATATTATTCTGTGTACCCTGCCCAGGCAATGTCAACCTAGTCTAAGATGATGTCCTACTGTCCGTTATTGTATGCTAATTTATCTTTGTCAGAAATTTACTTGAAATTAACACTTTCTTTACATGCTAAGAAGGGTATGGTCCATGTGCAGATTCTCCAAATTTTCCTTTAGATATATCTTAGCTGATATCTTGTATTGTACGTCCCCTTTATTCCCATTTAACTGTAGTATATCTAGAAGTTTTTTGCACATAAACTAAGAATTGCTACTTTATATATATATATATATATATATAGAGAGAGAGAGAGAGAGAGAGAGAGAGAGGTAGTTGATCCGTTCTCTATGAAATTGGAATCCACTAGCAGAACAACATACCTATTTTCTTTATATTCGGCCATTTTATCCTTTAAAAGCCTGTAGATCAGCCAAATGTCAACATTAATACTGAGAGAATATGTTAAAAGGAGATATTGGACAGCCTAAGTAGAGTTGTGCTTATTCCGCATAATAATGATCATGTTAGAGAGGATTAAACTATATGACACGTTAGTATCTACCTCAAATACAGTGAATAAGTTATCAAACAAGAGTGTGTAAATGTAGTTTTTTTGTATCTTAGAGGAATTTTGGTTATTTTGTTAGCAGTTTTTACTTTTTCCCAAGCAAAATTTACTGTTCATTTTGCGGTCTGAGTTGTTAAGCTCTTTATTTGGTTCTATGGCTTCATTTCTTACTAATGGATGCATTTCATTAAATTGAAGTGGGGTTTCTCAGTCTTTTTTGCCAGAGCCTTATAATAAGTTTTTAGCAAAGTGGAAGTTGCATATCATTACTTGAGCTTTTGCTTTACTGATTGTTAGATTACATCAATTGAGCTTCCACTGCTGAGACTCCTAAAAGGCCTTATAGACATTCCAAGTTTTCTAATCTCTTGAAATCTATTTTTTTTTATGTTCTTACTTCTTTCCATGTTTCCAAGCTTCTTTGCTATGCTTTGATGAATGTTCAAATCCAATGGTAAAGTTTCATAACAGGGTTGCTTTAGAAAACCATGTTAAGATACTTATATGCTTACCTGCATTTTGAAGACACCCTCTTTACTCTTATGATAATACCTCTTTGATGACTCACCTTATCTACCCTCTCTTTACTTTGCACAAGGTGATGTTATGGAGACACCCTAGTAGAATGGCACCTTTATATGAGATCGTCTTGCTGCGTTTAACGTCTTTATTTAAGATTGAAAAGCTACTCGCTAAATATTTCACTGGGTTAACCAAAAAATTTTAAAAAAATTTCTGGTGGAACATGTTACTTGTACGTATTTGCTTTTGTAGTTGACTAGGTTTATGTGTTCATTGTGCTGAAATATTTATAGCCATGGGAATGTGTTTCTGCTTTATTGAATTATAACATGCTGAAAGATGAGTTGTTAGATCTGATTTTTGGCTTCATTCACATTTTTTCAATGATTATTTGAGAACAAGGTTATTTGTAGCATAGTGTTGGACTCTGCTTCATCTTTCTGCAGGTATGTCCCATCTTTCATACCACCTCCTTTGGTTACCAAGGGTAAAGAATTTGACAAGAAGGTCAGTGCTTAAGGAGGATGCTTTTCCTTGGGAAGCAGTGCCTGTATGCTTTTATATGACTTTTTTTTGTTTGCTTTTAATATTGCAGAAGGAGGAGAAGCCAAGGGAAAAAGAAAAGGGGAAGTCAAGGAACATTGACCATTTTATGGAGGAGCTGAAGCATGAGCAGGAAATGAGGGAAAGGCGAAACCAAGAGCGTGAACACTGGCGTGATGCTCGCCATGGTGATAATTCTGCAGTAAGGAGCTTTACAGATACTGTTCATGAAGTGGAAATTTTAGGTCTTACGGTCAAACTTTCAGGTCTTTTTATGAAGTGAGAAATGGAGTTCCTGTTGGCAAAGTTTTATCAATTAGTTTGATGAACCATTTGATGTCTAATTTTGGATTTTGTTTTCTGTGGCACTCTTATCTTGATTGAATTCCTTTACTGTTTCATGTTGCCTTATTTGTGGAAGCCGAGGAGAATGCATGTGTCAAAGCTAGTGAATTGCTGACTGTGGCCTTATTTAACTGTACTTTTTTATTGGATAGATTTTTTTCTTGGATGTTGTGCAAACACAGGAAGATTATCATACTTTACTTTGTAACTAATCTGAAGGGAAGATCATAAATGAATTGGGATTCTTGCTATAACTATTTTTCCCCCTATATCTATTTGAATGACTTTTACCCTGACTTTACTCAAAACTTGTGTTTTCATTAATCAAGGCTTAGGAAGTGTTGATAATTACTTGAAATCTCTAGGTTGTTTGCATTATTTTATTCAGTCAACTTTATCTGAGTGAAAGTGGCATATGTGCCACTTTTTTTTTAATTAATTTATTTAGATGCGTACTAGGTGTTTGTAAAACTGTTAGTATATTCTCTGCAATCACCATATGAGATGAACTTCAAAATTTAAATATCTATTATTAAGAAGTGATAGGACTGGACCAAACTATAGCTGTTGAAAAGGTGAACTAAAATTACCACTTAAAGAACCAGGACATGTCCTGAGGCAATGAGCAGCATATAATTGATTAATTATTTGGGAAGAGAGGCTGAAAGTACTGTGGATAAAGAAAGGATGTGAAAACTGCCTTTGTTGATGGTTTTCCTATGTAATTCGACATCCAATGGATGATTTGCATCAGAAGCTTTTATCTTATCTATCAGGTGTCATCATCCACGCAATTTTGTAAAACAGTTTGAGTTAGGAGTTTCGTAGAACAGTTGAATATGGATAATATGGAATGTTTTGCTGCCAGTGTTGAAGAGGGAGCAACAGTGGAATGCCATCTGACTTCAAAGATGATGGAGATGAACTGTTATATGTTAATGTCTCAGAACCTCTTAATAGTTGGGCGTGAAGAAATAATGTCAACTTGTTAAGACAGTTGAAAACAAAATGTGAGGCTTGTTTTTTTGAAAAATTTATGGAAGCCTCCATGTCTCAGAGGTGGTTATCATGATATGTGCTATGTAAAAATCATTTTTGTCTGTGAGTTGGTGCGGGGTACTGATTTGATTAGCTTTTCTGCTTGTGAGATTTTTTGGGATTTAATTGTGCATGTATAGAATGTCTCGCTTGGAATAGAAATCAACAAGTCATAGCCCAAATATTCTTTTGACAGCCATCTAGCCGGTTCGATGAGCTGCCAGATGACTTTGATCCAAGTGGAAGGCCTGGATCATTTGATGATGGAGACCCACAGACCACAAATCTTTATGTTGGAAATTTGTCACCTCAGGTAAATTTTTTGTTATCAAGTTGGCTTTTTCGATACTATAATTTTAGTATGGTGGTTTGTGATCCTACTGTTTAAAGAAAATATGATCCTTAATGATGTTAGGTTGATGAAAATTTCCTTTTGCGGACTTTTGGAAGATTTGGACCTATTGCCAGTGTGAAAATAATGTGGCCTAGGACAGAGGAGGAGCGTAGACGCCAAAGGAACTGTGGTTTTGTAGCTTTCATGAATAGGCTTGATGCACAAGCTGCAAAGGATGAAATGCAAGGTTTGCTTGGTTTATTTATAATGTTTTTCGAATTTTACTTTATATTGCATCTCTTGTTAAAGAAGTTGGCTCTGCAGAAGAGCATTTTTTTACTTTCGCCATTTGAAATTTGTACGCAATTTCAGACCTTCTTTTAAGAGGTTAATTGACGAGGATCATTTCCATTCTGTTTAAAACTGTAAACCCTGACACGTAGAATATCTGGCTATGTAAATGAAAGGGTTTGGTTGGTTAAGGTGTTGTCCATTGTATAACCCATTTGGTCGTGGTATTCGATTGCCAAAAAGGCAACTTGCCTTTGGAGTCCAAATACCCAAAACTGGATGTAAAAAGATTTGTGTTGTTTTGCTAATAGTTTTGCCAATTATTTATGCACGGATATTTGTTTATTGTTCATGTAATCTTTTTATTCTCATGGTCATCATATTTAAGTAATATAGACTAGTAAGTAAAGTGAATATTGAGGACATAACTGCGAGTGTTTCATGGCTCTTGAAGGTGAACATCCATTAATTTCATGCATCTTGTTGAATTCAACTTTTGTTAATTGACTTATAAAATGTATTTATACTGCCAGCTGCGTTTGGGGTGCCTTGCAGAACCTTTTAATAATCAGGTGTGGGGTTTAGAGAAGAAAATAGAAATTTAGTTAGCTTAAGCTAGCTTGTATACGGAGCTGCCATGATTGTGAAATTTCATTCTAGGCTTCTACTAGGCTGTGAAGAGGTACAATCAGGTGGAATGCCGCCACTCTGCCTGGGATAATTTACACATTCCACAATCTTCCTAAAATGTAAATTTTCTTTTAGGGATCCCCAATTCTGTGCTGCCTCTGTTACTGATTGATTTGATAGACCTCAGGTTAGAAGTTAATGGTTCTCATGTTACAACAATTGGAGTATAAAACCAACAACCCACTCCAAGTGGGATAAATTCTAATTTACTCTAATGTACCTTGAGTTTTTACTTTGTTGCACAATTTACCGGACTCAGTTCTTGCATGAGCTGCCTAGTATGCTGTTTATTCATACCTTTTTCAGAGGAAGAGAAAGAGACTGAATCGTCTCTTTATGGCTCAGGTGTGGTAGTTTATGAATACGAGTTAAAGATTGGCTGGGGTAAATCTGTGGCTCTTCCATCACAAGCACTTCCTGCTCCCCCTCCAGGTCAAATGGCCATCAGGAGTAAGGAGGTTTGGCTTTGTTTCCCATCCCTCCCCAGTTTATGCACAACATAGTATTTCCTTTTCTTGCCGGGCTGAAAAACAGTTGCTGAGATGGCATTTTCTATGTTTTACAGGGTGCCACTGTTATCTTGTCTGGCCCTTCAGGTCCTCCAGTTACTACAGTGCCTAGTCAAAATTCTGAGTTGGTAGGTTAACATAATACTCTGTTGTTTGTCCCTTTTTTGTAAGTATTTACTGATTTTCTTCCCCTCATTTGGAAAGCAAGGAAATTAAGCTTGTTATCAAGTGGAGAAAAGGTGATTTTATGGTAAAAGAGAAGGTGTAGGTCTTATGGCTGAGAAAATTTTCTTGTCAAAGGAATGTTAAAAATTGCAACTGGTTCTTTGGAGTCTCTTGTATACTGTGTTGTGGAATTCAATTTGTTCAGTGTGAAAGCAGTTTTTTCTGGCATAATTCATTCTTGATACTTGATGCAGCTGTTGACAGTTAGAAGTCTACTGTTATTTAATCCATTTTAAGGTACTTATAAAGGTGTTGCCAAACTTTTGTTAACGGGACGCAAGCTTGAATTTTTTTATCTGTACACCTATGATTTTCATGAATATTTATAATCCACCATTGTAGCTTGGTTTTTTGGTTTGTTGAAATCATCTTTACTATGTTTAATCTTTGTGAACCTTCATCCATCTTGTTAGTTTCTATACTTTTATGTGTTTGATTGTGCCTCAATATGTCAGTTACTAATGTTGTCCATCCTAGCAGGAATACTTCTTAACTTTTTATTGGTTTTTTGGTTTGTTCAACTCTTTATTGATCCTTGATTGTCTAGTCTTCATGAACCTTCATCCATCTTCTTAGTCTCTTTAATTTTATATTTTTAAACATTTCAGTTAATAATGTTGCTCATTTTAGCTGGGATACTTTTTAAATGTTGGTCTCTCCTATTGGTTGAATTAGTGTAACTTAACATTTCCATGATTTTAAAGCTATAATTGCCATTGGTTTTGAGCTGCTCATATTGTTCTGATGAGTGCAGAAATTTGAGTTTATTTTCATATTTCTATCATGCAGCCTAAGTGCTAATATGAGGTTGCCCTGATTAACCCTTTATTATTATCGGGCTAAACATGTAATGGTTTCTACTTCCTCGAGGAAAACAGCTACTGGACTTTGCTTTGTGTAAGCATGATTTCTTTGAACTTCTTAGATAAGTTAAAAGAGTATTAGTCTAGCATAATAGGTAACCTAATATATGTATGCGTTGGTGGATAAATTTGATACTGATTTTATTTAAGAACTGATGAAATGTTTAGCATATTGATCTGTTAAATTACTTCAGGAGGCAAATGTGTCATCACCTTTTTGTATGTATCACTGATGATTTGACTTACTGTGCAGGTTCTTACACCAAATGTGCCTGACATTAATGTTATCCCACCAGAGGATGATCACCTTCGCCATGTCATAGATACCATGGCTCTCTATGTTCTTGATGGTGGTTGTGCTTTTGAACAAGCAATAATGGAGCGTGGTCGTGGAAATCCCCTATTTGGGTTCTTGTTTGAACTTGGGTCTCAGGAGCATACTTATTATGTCTGGAGGCTGTATTCTTTTGCCCAGGTGAATCGTTTTAGTTGTTTACATGGATGTTGGTTTCAATTCCATCTTCATGAGTTTCTTGTTGCTGGTATTTTTAGCTGTTGTGTTGTTTTTGTTATAGCTTTTCGTAAGTTGCTTATAACATATAACTAGGATATGGTAGTTGAAAATCAAAGGTATATTTAATTCTCTGAATACCTTGATTATGGTACATGGGATGTGATGATTATAGAGCTTAATGAGATTTCTCAGTTGCTGTACAAACTTAGTAATGATAAATGAATTTGTATGTCATGATTATGCATGTTAACATATGGTATTCTTTTGAAGTTGTAAATCTGACCTGCTTACGTGATATTCATATGATCTAGGCATGCTTTTGATACAAAAAGTATTAGCTAATCATGAATTCTAAATTGGATTAGCAAAGTAGTCATGCTACTCATATGCGATTGTGTCAGTGATGGATTACGCTTTAAACTTTTAGCACAAGTCATTTTGGTTTAATAACATGTATCATTGTGTTAGACATGTTAAAAGTGTGGTGGTCCATATGACCCATTTCCATTGACTACATGCATCTAGTTGGCACGATGAGTGATCCAATAATTTAAACTGTTCAACAGCCCTTCTAATATATGGTTTGACATCTGCAAATTTTGATCTACTTATTACAGATAAGTAATGCATCATATTTTTTCTTCAATAATCAATCAAATGAGCAAGGTAAACTAGTGGACATCAACCAATCGTGGAAACTGGGCTCCATTGCTTTGACATAGTCATAATGTAAAAGGGGAAACAGATTGAGACATTTTTTTTTTCAAAAATAATAATCTATCAATTAAGAGCTAAACTTTTAGACATCAACTGATCAATTAAACTGGTTCTTGGCTTACTGTCTTTGACGTGTCATAGTCAAAAGGGGAGACAATAGCAACTATTTAGTTGTTGTTTTTTATCTATAAAAATCGATTAACACTGTAAAGATCATAAATAATATAGCTAAACACAATAAATACTTGGTTTTTCTAACACATGCCATAGAACATGGTGGAACAAGTTTGACCTTTTCTGAGCAGACTCATATGTAAATGCGCTTGTTGAGTAATAGGAAATCATCTTTATGTACAATGTCTCATGCACCTAGGTCTCTTGTGTAAACTTTCTTTTACTTAATTTTTGGAAAGATTGATCCATCTAGTTATGGCCTGAAAGATTATGCTGCGACCTTGAGAAGTTAATTTTGTCTTTTTAGCTGTCTATCCCGTTCCATATTTGCTGGCAGAACATAGCAAGAGTCTGGGATGTTTTCAGGACGGGAAAGACATGATATTCGCCATCCTGGCTGTTGAAATTTAAATTTTCTCTCGTGTTACCATGATGGATCCTAAGGAATTACTGAAGATTCTTGCTTGCTTGTTTTCAATTAGGGGGATACTTTGCAACGATGGCGAACAGAACCCTTCATCATGATTACTGGTAGCGGCAGGTTTGTGCCTTTCTTCATCTGCTTTTGGTACACTTCTCCAAATTGCTCTATGGGTTGAAGGCTTTGTCTTGTTTTCTATGATATTGAACTACTTCTATTGAAGAAAAATTGAATTTTTAGCTTGTGTTGCATTTAATCTTCGAGAGGTTTGCTGCTTAAGCTCTTAAACTAGGGTCTGTTTAGATCGGTGTTCTTTAGGGTGTTCTTGGAAAACTTTGCTGTAGAAAAAGTTTATCAAAAGCTTTTTGGATGAGTGCTTTTTGAGGTGTTGACCCAATTGATTGTCTTGGATCCGGATAATTAGTTAATTTGATAATCTATTGTCAATTGGGACGTTAAATCCGTAATTGTTTAATTATCTCAAAATAGTGATAACTGGCATGATTGGGTTTGTGTTAGGGGAATACGCTGGCTAACCTAAAATAACCCTGGTATTGTATTATTTGGTTAGAATAGGACTCCTCTAATACGTAAGGCAATTGGGGAATTAAATCTTACGAGCGTACCGAGGATTATTTCTCAATTAGAGCAGTGATTAACGGGCGTACCTTAATCACTGACACAGTAAGGAGGGATTGACTGTCATCGTTTGTTTGGCAGTTATAACCTATTTATTAATAAATAATTGAAATTGCTTGTGCAACTATGATCAATGAGATGAACCATTACTGAAGTTATTTCTTGACTAGATCCTTAATTATCACCCATTTGATTTTAGTAATTTGTTATTTAATTTTTAGTAGCTTCTTAGATTTTATTTGAATTTCTTTGATTGTCACTTTCTGCACAAAAACACCCCCTTTGTTACTGTGAATTTGAAAAGAAACAGTTACACTCAGTCCCTGTGGATTCGACCCTGCTTACCACTACCTACAGAAATTAACTTTAGTTGAGCAGGTTTTTATTATTGCACAGGCCCGACACCTGTCATTTTGCAAGAATATTAGAACCCATATGGGGAATTTCAGGTGTCAAATAGGTGGTTGTGAAAGCAAGAACTTCTTCTAAAATTTTGTCTTGCTGTGCTTTGACCTGAGCAGCTTCATATAGATTTAGGAGACCTCTTAAGTCGCTGTATAAGGAGTCCTTGAACTTACCATTAGGATCAACGAATTGGTTGAAAATTCCTACTTGGAAATTATTTAGGCAATGGTATGTCAGAGAAATCACATGCTAGTGTTTGTACGCACTTTTGAATCAGTGAATTTAGTAAGCAAATTGTATACCACAAGAGATATTAAAACCATATTGCCTGAAAAGTCGAAACTGAAGTGCTGCAGTAGATAAATCATATTCTAGATACCTTCCCAAGTGGTAGATAGATTGAAAAGCTGTTCTAGTTGATTTTGAATCTCATCCTCAAAGTGATACGAGATACCGAGTCGTTCTATTTTGTCAATGAAATCAATTTTTGCATCATGGTTGTTCCTGTTGCCAGAAGCATGCTCATCACTTCTACCTTCAAAACTTCAATCTCTTTGGTGTACATTTCATATCCCTAAATGCATCTCAAAAATATTTCTTCAATGATATTGTCAAATTAATCTTGTTAATTTTCCTTGAAAAACAAGAATTCTTAGACATTAAACAGGCAAAGACATACCTCGTACCCTAAAACACTAATAAAAAATCCTTCTGCCTGCAAATTAATCGAGTATCTGTAACGATACGCATTGATGTCATAGGGAAAATAATAGGGATGAATGATATGTAAGGTCGTCATAAAAGCCTAATAGGAAAGGAAATGTCGCATGACTCCAGGTAAAAGTTTTACATTAACATACGGAAAAATGAAAAGGACTTAAAGGTCAAAATGGGCAAAACCATACAGTTGAATCGGTTGTCCACTTAGATATTCTGTTTTCTTTTCTGAAACTCTATGTTATTTAGATGATTAATTTTAAAATCAACAAAAAAAAAGTTGAACCACTTAAATTGAGAATTAGAAGCTCATCTAAATAACCCACTAGTCTGGATCTAAAAGTGTTGCTAATTTTGTCTCATACTCTCCAAAAACAATAAAATCTTCTTTTTGTTCTTAATGGAAAATAAAGAATTTATTAAGGCACAACCATGTTTGCATTAACAACGGGAAATATAGAGGATGAAGGATGATCCTTCCCAGCAAATAGATATGTGATCATTGGGGTCAGATCAATGGTGGATGCGATAGAATTATTAGAGTATTTTTTTCTTGTCAGATTCAGAGTTTGAATTCTATGATGATGATGGTTAGGGGCGAAAAGGGTGTGAAGAGAAGTGGGAGGCTAAAAAAAGAAAATATTCAGCAAACAGATGTGAGACAAGTTATTTACAATCTAGAAAAATGAATGGTATAGAGGAAATAACATTGGAAAAAAAAATATGAGGTCAATTATGAACTTATAGAAATATGAAGGAAGCATAACCTGCTTATCAAGAGTAAACGTTGTCATACGATCAGCCAAATGTTTTCAAGAAAGTCTGCCAATTGCCGGACAACTTCAGCAGTTTGAGGGAGGCCATGTTGGTGGGGTAAATAGGGGATGATTGAGCTCAACTAAGTGTTTTTACTATAATCATATGGATGATCAGCCAGAGAATTCAATTACATATATATAGATCCATCACCCTAGTAGTTACTCATTAGGGGCTGCTTTAGCTGTTCGTTGTACTTAGTTTTAGTAAACCCTATCCGATTGATTTGGAGCACTCAGTTGTCAGCAATGCAAGCCATCAACTTGGACGAACGACAAAAGTCTGCACTATGATCTGCCATGTGATGTCAAAGATAATTTGACAACTGAAACAGTACCAGCAAATTCTTTGGAAAGTCAAGTCAAACAAATTATCAAGCCGACTAACTGATCTAGAGGACATTGTATGGTTTTCTAAAAACGAAAGGAAACAAAAGGATATGCTGCAGACAAAACAATACCATCGAAAAGTCTCATGTAGATTAATAAAGATTAAAAAGAAGAGGGAAAATCTAGCTCTCACTTTTGCACTATCAAATCCAAAACAAATTTTCTAAAACTTTACAAATTGTATGTAACACAATTGATAAGAGAAAGCCCAAAAAATATAAAAAGACTTCTATAGCCGGAATTTTTACAGTAGTTTTCTTCAAAGATTTTGTTAGGAAATTGGCTTAATTTCTTTTAGGTAGATTTCTTCTTCTGTGTAGAAGTAACTAGTTTTCTAATTGTTTTAGTTACTTGAAATAATAGTCAAGAAATATCCTATTTAGTATAGAATTAGAAGTTATTTCATATTCTATACAGGTCTAGGAATTAGAATTGATTTCCTATTGTTATTTGAATTTTGGCCAAATAATGTTATCTACAAATAGGTGGATTGACATACTATACAAGAGACACACAACACACAAGAGATGACATGTAATCTTATACATAGGTAGTGAGAGAGGTTTTTGGGAGATGAGAGATGGTATACAAGAGTTGGGTTTGGGGTCAAGTTATATTCTTGTATAGGTTTTCCTCTCATAATAAAGAGCGAGTTCTCTCTTCGTGAACGTAGGCTCAATGGTGGAGCCGAACCATGTTAAATTTTGTGTGTCGTTTATCTTTCATACTTATGATTTGTTAATCATTAAATTGTTGTGTACTTGATATCTTAATAGTTGTGTGTTCTGCGCTTGGATCCTAACAATTGGTATCAGAGTTTCAGGTCTCGAGACTGGGCTACTCAGGGGCAAGTGGATTCTTCTCAAAGTTGGATCGGTAAAAATTCTCTCATTGGTGGTGGACCAAGGTGCTAAGAATTTTGGCTAGTATTGGACCAAGTGCACCATAGGTTTGCAGGAAGACCGGTTGGTATGAGATGGAGCCAAGGGTTAGCAGAGGTCTAAAAATCTAGTTTGGATGTTAAAGAAGAGTGGGTCCACGTGACAGGTGTCAAACCTGTGCAATAATAAATATCTACTCTAGAAAAATACAAATTTTGTATATAGCGGTGAGCAAAGTCGAATCCATAGGGATTGGAATAATTTGTTTCTTCCAGAATCCGAAGTATGGGGTTTTTTGGAGAATATAAAATAACTAATTAACTAACTAATGAAACAACTAATAGAAATAAATAGGAATTAATCAATAACCAATACGACTCTAGTCAAAGGTGCAACTTTCAGACACGGTCCATTCAACTAATCATCGATGCAAAGATAATTCAATTACTCATTAATAGATTGGTTATAGTTGTCATACACGCGATAAACAACTAGTCTTTCCTTACTTTTTCGATAGTCAAGGTACGACCATTAACTACTTCCCTAACCAAAAAATAACCTTAGGTAGGACCATAGGATTAATTTCTCGATTGCAATAAGAATTAGAAAAATCCAATCCTAACCAACAAACACGTTACGAGAGTTCATTTAAATTAGATCAAATTTTCTCTAATAGGGTGCATTTTAGTAGGTTATTTCATTGCTATTTCATAGTTGTTGGGACTAAATGTCGCTCTATTAGATGGATTCTACTAAGGTTTGGTGGTTTGTGTTAATTGCAGGAAGTAATGCTGAAAAGTGCTGAAAATCAAATTCCAAAGGACTTCTTGACATTTAGGCGTGCCCACGCCTAACCCCACCCAAAAACCCGTACTCGTCGCACGTGGGAAGCTCCAGAATATTGAGCGAGGCAGCGAACTACAACTTTGGAAAGCAGTGGGGTCACTCCCAAGCTGAAGAGAGTTATCTGTAATAGGATTTGTTAATTAGGAAATTTTTGGTATCGGTTACCAACTTTGTAGGAGAAAAACTAGGATGAGATTTACGTTCCTCTCTCTGGTAGGGCCTGGCTGAAAAAAGGGAGGAATTCCTTTTTGCCTTTTTGTGTGGCTACCAACGTGAAAAGAAGAGGGGTACTTTTCCTAAGGCTTGTCTTTGACTTTGGTGGTGCTTTGTAAACAATTAGGAAGAAACCAATGAGAGGAGCCGCAATTGTGGACTTGTGGGTTTTTGCTTTTTACTTTTGTTTGACCAAATTGAAGAGAGCATTAGACTCTCTCGTATGCCTTGGGTTGGAAACAATTGAAAGCAACAAAAATTCCTCGTTCTTTTCTTCCGCGGTTGACCAAAATTGAGAGAGCCAATTTGGCAATTTTTCTCAATTCTCTACGCATGGCTTGTTCTCCATTAATGGAAAACTAACTCTCCAATTCTAGTCAAGAGGACAACTGAAGATTTGGTTCGGCAAATATTGTGAGATCTAAATTATTTTAATTGCTTCCTCCATATATTGGTTATATATATGTTTTCTACTTTCAATTATTATAACTTTTGTGAATGATTGAATAGTGTGCAATATTTAATTATTCACATAGCCTATTTTGCTAATTAGGGGTAGTTGGATCCGTAATTGGTCGATTACCTCTGTCCCGGTAGCAACTGGCATAATTGGGTTTATGTCAGGAGAACGTACGATCTAGTTTAAACAAACTCTCGTAGCGTGTTTATTAATTAGAATTGGGCTTTTCTAAACCTTCATGCAATCTAGAAATTAAATCCTACGATCGTACCTAGGATTATTTTCGGATTAGAGAAATAGTTAACGGTCGTACCTTGACTATCGAAAAAGTAAGGAAAAACTGGTTGTTTATCGCGTGTATGACAGCTATAACCAATCTATTAATAAATGCTAAAATTTTATGTGAATTGATGATCAGTGCATGAACCATTTCTGAAGTGTACCCTTGGCTAGAGTTCTCTCAAGTATTTCTGTCAATTAATTATTTTTCGCATTCGATTTATTTAGTTCATTAGCATTTAATCCTAGAACCCCCCATTTATCTTGACTCGAAAGGAAACAAATTTCTCCCCATCCCTGAGGAGACGACCCTGCTTGCCACTGTCTACTAGTTAGTGAATTTAGTCAGATAATTAATTCTGATATATTGGATTAAACAAACTCTTCAGGAACAGGGTGAATTAAGTAACCCATTGCACACCTAGGGTCCCTGCTCCAGTACTAGAATTGATTATTAACTGCTTTAGGTGGTAGTTAGGTTTTATTATTATTGCACAGGCTCGGCATACCACTATGGTAGAGACATGCATGTGGTAGAGATATGCACTATGCACTATTGAAACTTGAAAGTGGAAGATGCACTATGGGCATACCGCACCGCATACAAGACGCTGATTGGGATGTCCCTATATAGACCAGTTTTCGGTAAGGCTTGTCATCTTCCAGTGGAGTTCGAGCATAGGGCATTCTGAGCAATGAAGTAGTGCAATATGGATCTGGAAGAAGCGAGACTCCATAGAAAATTGTAGCTACAGGAGCTGGAAGAGATTAGAAATGAGGCCTACAAGAATGCCATGATTTATAAGGAGAAGAGCAAAATTTTTCATAATCAACAAGTCTTAAGAAAGTCCTTTGTAATGGGGCAAAAAGTGCTCTTTTATCACTCGAAACTTAAACTTTTCTCCGATAAGTTACGTTCTCGTTGGATTGGTCATTTGTCGTTTCTAATATTTTTTATTATGGTGTAGTGGAGATCCAAAGTTTAAAGATGGAGAAGAAGTTCGTGATAAATGACCATCATCTCAAACCTTACTATAAGGAATTCTCCGTTGAGGAAGTCGAATTCATACAACTGGAGAATCCAATTTATCCATTTTGAGAGTTCCGGCCGAGTCTAGCCAAAGACGTTAAAGAAAGTCGTTACTTGGGAGGCAACCCAAGACTATTTGTTTTAGTTTTCTTGTATTTTTTGAGTTTTTGTTAAGTGTTAGTGTCATTTAGTGGTGTGTTGTTTTGTGCAGGATTCCGTAGTTAGATGTGCTCACGCTAGGTGATCACGCCTAAGAATGAAGTTCTGAATTGACGGTTAGAAGACTTTATAGCAGTTAGACGTGCCCACGTCAGGTGGTCACGCTTAAGGATCAAAATTTTGACAGATGGTCAGAAGACTAGTAGGCAGTTAGGCTTGCCCACGCCTAATACAGGGGTTCTTTGTTAAAACAAAAAAAAAAGAAAAAGAAAAAAGGTGTGAAAAAACGAAATTGCCCTCACTTAATTTATAATTTGTAGACAAAAGCTGAGGCGGGTGGAAGTTGAACTCATAAAATATCGTGAATATTTGGAAGAGCAAGGCACAAAAAGTTCAGAGGAAATTGAGAGAGAAGTTGAAAGCCGTCGAAGACGATTACTATCTGATTGTGGATTGTTGGATATGAATGAAGATGCTTCTGGAAGAAGTAAGTAGCTTTTTGATAACTTTGTTCCTGCTGAGTATTTAGAAGAATTAGTGCCTTTTCAGTTCAGCCTGTTTGATGACAATATCCATTCACCGCTTCATGCGCTATGCACAACTGTGTATTTACAATTGTTAGTAAAAATCCCTATGGCTTAATCTTGTAGGGAGTTTTAAGCATTTAATGATTTCTTTGATTGAAGCTTTATTTGATCTTTTAGTCTAATTTCTGTGTGTGCAGCTCTATGAACAGGAGAAATTACAATTTGTCCTATAAACAGATGAAATTGTCTGCATACCAAATGACACATGCATTCTTATAGTTCGGTTACAAGTGAATCCTATGGTATGGTCTTGTAGAATCAATTGAATGTGCACATATGAACTATGCTAAAGGATGATTGATTGCATTCTGATAGATTAAAGAGTTGCTCAGATTTGAATGCAGCATGAGGCTCAAGATAAGATCAACTTCAATGAGTATGTTATTTTGAATGTATGCCAAATATATTACATGTGAACATGTTTTAAGAAACTCTTTCTTGTGTCTCTTTTTAACTTATCAATGCTGTTATGAACACAGCCCACCAGGAGGGAAAAAGAAATGGAAATGGCAAAAAATTTCGAGAAAGTATATATCTGCTGGCACTCTCGAATTGTGAAAGTTAGTTGTCATGATTGTTTGTAGATGTGGAGGTTTAAGATGAAAAATAAATAGGGTAAACATTTTAAGTGTCCCTTTGGATGGTGTGTTTTATAGGGGTTTGTCTAAAACATTATTGTAGCTTACTGTTGTTGTCTTGGGAAAAATCTTGGTATATGTTCAAGACACTAGTTTCCCAAAACACCCCTCTTCCCCCCTCCCCCACCACCACCATTACTGCCACCCACCACCAGCAGCCACCCCCACCTTCTCTCTCCTCTCCTCCCATTTCTCCCGCTAACCACACCCACACCGGTAACCCCTCTGTCCTTCCCCCTTGACCCACCCCTCCTCCCTCCCCGTCATTTTCCCCCTTTTTCCACCACCTTGTCCCTCCACCCTTTTTTCTGGGGCCCCAGCCTACCCTCCCCTGTCCAATCTGGAGCAGATGTGGTTGCTGGGAGGGAGGGAAGGGGTTGGGATGAAACGGGGGGAGGCGGGAGGGTGGTAGGAGGGGGAGACGAGGAGGGAGGGGAGGAGGAGGAGGATGAGGAAGTGGGGAGAGGAGTTGGTTGGGGGGAGGGAGGAGAGAAGGGGGAAGAAGAGGTAGGGAGGGTGGCAGGGGGGTGGTGGCAAGGGGTGGAGAAGGAAGAACGAGATCGTGATTTTTTATTTTATATTACATTATTATTATTTTTTTTAGTGTATTTGGGGTGTGTTACTGTAGAGTTGTATTTCAAATACAAGATTTTGGGAAAAACTTGAATCCAAACAGACCCGGATTTTTGGCTTTTGATTTTGCTGGTGCCTTTCCAATAATTTCAAGGATATACCGCTGTAATCAGAACAATGTTTGACTTTTAAAGGGAGCTTTTGATGCTGGAGAAGATAGGGGTGTTCTTGCCGACCAGTGCTAGCAGAAAAAAGAAGGGAAAGGCCCCGTGCCGGGGGGGGGGGAACAATCTATCTCCCAACTTTTATTGTTTAATATGTGCTACGAATATCCTGATATTCTAAAAGATAGAATGTTGTAAATTATTAGAATTCCTATCTCCAGTTAGCTTCCTTATATAATCAAATAACTATACAAGATTCAATGACACATTTGGTGGGAATTCCTGCTGACCAGTAAAAGACCAATGTACCCCTTGAGACCTAAAATTCTATCAAGTCTTTAAGCTCGGAGAGTTTAATTCTGTATCACTTGAACCATCTTTAGTCCCTGGAACTGCCATGGACAAAGTCCTTTAAACCAGAACTTGCTTGGAAGTGATCCCTTAGTTTATTCTTAAACTTCCAGCATGCGGCTGCATCATCAGCTTCTGCTCTCTTTTTCATCTTAAATGTTTTTCATTCAGTGGCAAATGCCAGTTCATTTATGAGGAAACAAGAAGGAAGAGGGAACTCTATGACTTGTCAAGATAGGTAGCAAAGATAATCCAGCACGATTAGGGTCCTTGTATTTTCCCAAGCTCTAGAATTCCAGTACGATGACAACTCAATTCATTGTTTGTGCTATTGCTCAAGATTATCTAAAATAATCCTTAACAATATAGAAGCAAAATGCTTCAATGACACACCCGAGTTAGTGCTTCCATTTTATATATAAAATAATCCTTAAAAACATTGATGCAAAATGCTCTAATGACACCCGAGTTAGTACTTTCGTTTTATATGTAACAATCACTCTGTATGATCTTTTATTATAAGAGTAAGAATTTTGAAAAATATGATTCCTAACACATTGATTATGTTGTATTATATATGCCTAGATAATGTTTTGATAGAAGGTAAAATCTTGTTTGGTGTGGCTGATTACCAGATGATTGTCTGCTTTATGTATGCATTTTTGGATTCCTAAAAACTGGATTTCTAGACAGAGAATACTGATCGTGGATTAATTGTACTTTCCTAGCTCTTTGCCTTTTGTCTTCTGATTGGACCTTGCTGCTTTTTCTAATATCTTCTCTCTCCACATAAATGCATGAACATGTAGGGAGGTCATCTTTGGAGAGAAAAGACAAGAGAGATAATTTGCATGAACCTGTAAGGAAGCGTCGCCGCAGCCGAAGTCGAAGTAATAGTCCTCCACGAAAATCATCTATGAAAGACAGGGATAGGGACAGTGAAATTAACAGAGAAAGAGAGAGACGTCGAGAAAGGGAAAGACATGGTTCAGAAAGTGAAAGGGGAAGGGATTGTGAAAGGGACCGGGAAAAAAGTGGAAGCAGGGAGAGGGATGATCATGACAGAGAAAAAAGCAGGGAAAGGAGAAGGGTGAAATGAGTTGGTAGGTGTGATACTGGAAATGATTGTTGGTTGCAATGAAGAGGGGCTTGGTTTGCCTTGGGTTGAAATAGGTTCCTAACATTTGTTTGAACTTGCAGTGCTGCATAATGGTTCTGATCCCAAGATTGAGCTCTCCGATTTCCAGGCACAAACGGGCTTTTTTTTTTTTTCCAGAAATCTGCCTGAATCATTATGTTAGTCATTTTGGAAACTTTTATAGCCTCAGATTTTCAGTGAAAGATGTTATATCAGTTGCGAGCCCTTTTATATATTAATTATATAAAATATGCCTTAGAATTTTCTCCCGGTCTAGTAGAGCATGACACAAGTACTTAGCTCAGTAATTCTGTTTCTATATTGTTTCAGGCATTAGCCTCATCTGTCTTTCTGTCAAAAGTTTATGGCACTATCAATCACTTTGAACGGGAGAGTGAGTTCGTCAGGCATGATTTATAGTTCAATTGAGCTCATGATTGCTTGAATCTGTTTGATCACTTCAAGGGAACAGGAGTTTGATTGAATTAGCGTGGAAGTAGGTTCGAAATTTTTGCAAATGCTATGCAAAATGATATTCTTTCCACCAGGTGTCAGTTATCTCAAGTAAGCTAAACATGGGTCAAGCATTAATCTGATCTGTATGGGGCAGAACTGAACCTGCACAAGCAACTTGAACTGCTCGAAGTACTTGTTGTAGATATTTGAGGCTCTATTCCGGTGTCCTGATTTCGGCCTTATTTAAAGAAACAAAATTGGTGTAAAATACCATCAGCAGTGATAATCTAAAAACCTCCAGGTTATTGAGAAACACCAAAATGAAAGTGCATGACATAGGATATCGGTGGCGGAGAAAAATAGAGGATGTTTGAGTATTTTTGGACAAATGTCAGCATTTTTTTTAAACAACTATTATGAGTTATGGTAAAGTTTTAAGACAAACCATCTAAAAATCATACCATCCAAACGGAGCGTGAAGTGTGAACATCTCGTTATAGATTAATTATTGACGTCACAATGTTGGGGTAAAATTTGATGCTGTGAATTGGCCGACTAAAATTAGTGCAAGTATATGTTTTCAAATTTTTAAAGAGTATATTATGACACTTTTCGGATTATAGGGTAACGCTGAAATTTGGATGCATAAAAAGAATGAAAATGAAGTTATTACAGGATATATTGTTACTTCATTAGGACATGCATATGGTCCAAGTTTTTTTGTTTTTTTTTAATACAATATTATTACAATTGGTTCTATACTCGGAGAAAGGGGATGGAGATAGACCTATCTAATCTATTGAAAAGTTCAAAGGAGTTAAATAACATTCGTCCATATTCCAAGAGATTCTGGAGAGAAAACGCAATCAGGAGGGTTCAACCCCCTAACCTATGCCTAGGGAGAGACTTAGTCCATCCTCTGGTGGCCAACTGAGCTAATTAAGTTGCTTATGGTCTAAACTAACCCTTGAAATATATGTCTTTTGTTTGACTTTTGTATGTAGTTAGGTATTGCTTTTACTTGTAGAAGAGTGTGTGGGTTTTGTCGTAATTGCTGGTACTTCACCCAAGTTTGAGCTTTCTGACTCATCAAATTTGCAACTTTGGAAAAAATAAAAAATAAAATATTATTGCAATGCGCAAGGCAAAAAGGATCACAATACTGTCAGAAAGATGATTATCATACCATGGTTGTAAAGATAGACCTTGAGGTTGAACGTACATGTAGTCAACCAAATGCCAAGATCTGTAGATATTACCAATCAAATGCATGCCTTACTTTGTTTACAGTGATTGGTTTGTCAAATCAGGGGATGGATCATGGATCATGTATGGTTGCCAGCAAGCGAAGATTGTTTGCTCTTGATGCAGTCATTACAACAGTCTCTGTCATGTCTAAATCGTGAGAAACAAGGCCATTTGGAAGTCTCCAGTCAAAATGGTAAAGCAAAAGAGCTAAAGGAAGCTCAACATTGGCCAAACCAAATGCAATTCCTGCACAAATTCTCCTTCCTGCACCAAATGGTAGATACTCAAAGTGACTTCCATTGAAATCAATGGAGCTGTTTTCAAATCTCTCTGGCCTGAAAGATTCTGCATCATCCCAATACTCGGGGTCTCTTCCGATTGCCCAAGCATTAACCAAGACTCTTGTTTTGACAGGGATAATATATCCATCGATTTCACATTCCTCCCTACACTCTCTTGGAATCAACAAAGGGATTGGAGGGTGTAGCCTCAAAGTTTCTTTGATCACTGACCTTAGGTATCCCAGTTGCTGAATATCAGTTTCTTCAATCGTGTTTTTTCCTCTAAAAGCATTCCTTATTTCACTCCGTGCCTTAGCCATCACACCTGGATTTCTAATCAACTCGGACATCGCCCACTCCACTGTTGCGGATGAAGTTTCAGTTCCCCCTGTAAACACATCCTGCATCAAAGTCAATGCCAAAATTATTTGTAAGAGACTAAAAGATGTAATGGTAGTAAGCAAAAAATTGGTTAAACACTTACAGAAAGAACAGCTTTGATGTTGTCCTTGGTAAGTGGGATTTGAAGCTCACCACTTTCTTTAACTCTTAGCAGGACGTCAATTATGTCTTCATTGTCCGATACACCTGTAGCTATTTTTGTTCTTGCTAAGTTGTCCATATGCTTATCAATTATTTTGTCCAGAACTTTATCTAGCTTATAGTGGATATTTAGCATTTTAGTCTTCACCGAAAGGAAGGGATGAAGAATCTTGAACGATGGTAACAGATCAGAAACATCGAAGGCACTTGCTATGGAAGATGATTCCTTGATTAGCTGAAAGAATGCAAAATGATCGTCATTGCTTACTTTGCCGAATGCTGCTCTGTAGAGAACCGCACTTGTGTATGAAGACATCTTTTCCGTTACATCAATTGAATTTCCAGCATTAGCCAGAGCCTTAATCGATGAGACAAGATGCAAAGCCTCATCTTGCCGAATAGATCCAAATGATCGGACACTTTCAGAACTAAGGAGTTCCAAGGTGCATATTTTGCGCATTTGTCTCCAGTAGTCACCATATGGACAGCAAGCGATGTCCGAACAATTATACAACATGATCTTTCCCGCTAGAGTTTCTCCACGATTTGCAAAGGCAAGATCATGAGTTTCATAATCTCTTTTGCTAAGCGGGGCGATGTTACCACAATCGAAGAAATTTCACCTAGCTGAATGTGCATCAGAGGTCCATATTTTTGAGCTAATTTTCTGAGAGCATGATGCGGTGGAGAACCTGACAAATGATGCATATGTCCTATAATAGGTAGTTTCCATGGAGATGGTGGTAGTTTCTGGGCTGTTTTTGATCTCTTCAATACCTTGATCAAAGTTAAAACAAAGGCTATGAACAGAAAGAAAGCAGTGAAGTTGAGGGGTAGATCCATTCTTTGGCTCTCTTGCTCTCTTTGCAGTTTGCACTACTTTACGACCTTTTCTACTCACAAAAACACATATTAATACAGTAGGTATATGGATTACTATAGAAACTTACAACATATATTCATGAGGGTACAAGTTACTTTCTTAAGAGTTAGTTCTTAATTAGTTATCTTAATTATCCAGCACAACTTCTATGTCATATAGTCTTTGTCAAGTTGTACTGGTCAAATATTGTTGGTCAAACGTCAACATCTGACAGATTGATAAATAGTACAAGTATGATAGACTTAAATAATTACTGAGAATCAAATATCAGATCATGCAAGTATGATAATCACTGAGAATTAAATAAAGTAGTTTGGCTATCAGCTGAAGTGTCTCACAAATAATGAATTCCAAAGTGTTGATAGCATTGAACTGTTTCGAATCTCTTGCCGTTTTGTTGACATAAGCTATAAACGAGGAATAGGACAAAAAACAAAGCAATGAAGTTGAAGGGATGTTGCATTATTGCTGCCTGTATTTTTCATTTTGGCATCGTTGATTCTAAAGCCTTTGTTGACAAAACATGCACATATCATTTTCACCGGGGAAATCATAAGGTGTGTATTGGCCACATTTAGAATATAGAATAGGAACAAAATTGTTGACACTGAATTAATTACTCGAATATCATATTGGTTAATCCAAACTTACATCGTACCGCCTGTGAGTCACATTACATTCAAACCACTATTTTTAAAAAGTTGGATTCTCGAAACATTACAAAATAATCTTAGAAATAGGAGGGAATAACATTTAACTGATCTTAGAAGTCAATTATTTTGCCATTCTCATTCTTATGGGGATCTTTTTTTTAAATTGGTTGGTGTTGGTGTTACTAATGCCAGGGCAATTTTCTTTTCAAATGATGGATTTACCCTTTATAATTGGACATTTTTTATTTTTACCATTGAAGGTTATATTTGACATTTTTGGAAGATAATTGTTATGACCAAAATGATTAATGACGTATTTTCTGAATGTCGCGCACCATTTTTGAAATAAAAGGAAAGGTGTTTAAACATGAGTTTTTTATTTTGGAAAATAAAGAAAAATGGCTTAAAATGGGATGCAATGGTTTGGGCCCAAAATAATAGCCTAAAAAATGGTTTTTAAAAAAAAAGAGTCGTCACTTGGTATCGAGTTTAGATTTACTAAATTACCCAAAAAAATGTTTTAAAAAAATTAAAATATATAAACCCTTTTAAACGACTCCAAATCTTTGAAAACGAGAGAAAAAGGTTCGGGAGTTGTGGTTGAAGAAAGGAAAGACAAAGATTTGATCGATTCAAATCTAAAGCACCCTTTCAACCTAACCAAGGTTAATTGCGAAATTTAGTAAAAAATTTTCGTAATCCAACCTCTAAACTTATCACATTTGGATCTATATAGATACAAACCTAAATCTAGAGGATATCGGGAGAAATGAAATGTTTCTTCAAAATTTAATTGGTACCAATCACATTAATTGTGAAACCCAAGAATAATCCCTTGAAAAAGTCACAAAAATGCAAAAGATGAGATTCGAAGAAAAGAAAATTATGATATATAGATAAATATACATGACCTAAAAAAGAGGAATGCAACATAACGGATACGAAAAACTAAAATTCATGAAACAATTTTCCTTCTTATAGAGGGATAATAGCGTGCTAAGGCTAAGAAGTCATACTCGCCTATTCCCATATTCGAAGGGTGACTCTTCTAATTTAGACAAGCAAATGGACTAACCTAACTTTCTAATTAGCTAAATGAAATGCAAGTTAAAATGATATGGTTTGCGTATATAGGGATAAGGGAATACTATAAGAGAACATATCATGCAAATGAAAATAAACTAAAATAGAAAAAATGCATTAGATGCAATAAATGTCACACCAAAGTATAAATCTAGCATGTAGATGGTCTAAGGGTCTAGTATTAGATTAACCCATTTCTATAAGTTCTTACTAGCGTGGACTAGTGAGAAATTGGGAAAAAAAGTCATAATTAGCATTGGACTAGTGTGGTGACATCATGAACTCATTATAAACACATAACACATAAAGTATATAGAGCACGTAAAGTACATAATCAAAACAAATAAACACATAAAGTACATAGAGCACGTAGAGTACATAGCACATAGACATAATATTTATATGCAAAACCCTAGGAAAAGTAAATAAAACACATAAGCACATAAACACACAAGTACACAAGCACATAAAAGCTAACTATTTCATTGGGAGCCCTAACTATAATTTAAAAGGGGAAATATAAGATAATAAACATATCTAACTTATCTATTATATTTATCTAACTAATTACAATTCTTGCAAAAATAAAACCTATCTATTACATTATCTATCTTATTATATTTCTTGCACAAGAGGATATAACCTATCTATTACAATATGGGCATTTAAATACCCTTCAAACAATCATAAGACTTAAATTAAACATATATAAAATGAATAAAAGTTTAAAATAAATAAATAAAAGAAAAACATGTAACACATACAAACATATAGGAGCGCATAAAAAGAATTTAAAGGATTATAGGGGTATCTCCCATTTAAATTAGCAGCTAAGTGAGGGGAAAGGAGAGTTGTCTATTTTTTCAAAATCAACAAACGGGTCAATGAACCAATTTAATTGACAATTAATTATTAAAGATAAATAAAATTAATTTAATAAATTAACACTCCAAACAATGCATAAAGAATCAAAAAGCCATGGGGAATCTTAATAATAAAATCAACAAAGATTCTTAGGGACTAAAATGAGAAAATCAAAAGTTATTGGGGGAAAAATATGAATTTATTAAAAATTAGGGGCTAAAATGAAAATTCTGCCAAAATAATTTTTACTACCCTATTATTCATAATATAATCAGATTTGAACTAATCAACCACCAAAAAATGATTTTGAGCCATCGAACCAAAAACTATTTGCATTAATTTCTAAAGTTGCCAAATTGAAAATCTAAATTTAGCAAATTTATTTAAACCCCAATTATGCTTAAAAAAATCAGAATTAATTCACCCAAAATATGCATAAAACATATAAATAGAGATCAAGATTTTAAAAGGAAGAACTTTATTCATTTTCACAATTTTTGGGCCATATCATAATTATGCAAATATTAAGGACCAAAAATGCAAATTTCTTATGACCTATTCGAAATCAAAACCTACTAAAATCCTACAACAGCATGAACGAACAGTGTCCTCTTTCTTTGCTCTTTTTTTTTTTAACAAAATTTTTCAGAAAACAAGATTCTTACACTTGATAAACGTGTCCCTTACCTTTGTATAAACCCAAAAGGAAAAATGGTCAAATTCGTCTCTAAACTTTTTTTTAATGTCAATTTAATTCTTAGTTTTTGTTTCCGGCCAATTTGATCCATAAACTTATATTATGGTTTCAATTAAGGATTTTTACGGCGGCGCAACCAAAAAAATCGATCAAACTCCTTATTAACCAATTAAACATGAGTATTTTAGGGACTTTAGATATCTCCTCCTTCTATTATCAACCTCCACCGTCTGCCACCCATCTCCTCCTTCTTCTCTCACCCCACCTTTCTTTTCCCTCCCACATTCTTCTCTTTTCCCTCCCTCTATTGTTTGCCTGTTCTTAGCCTGGTGGTTACTGACATGATAGAGGGAGGGGAAAGAGAGGTGGACTGAGAGAATGAGGAGACGGGTGGCATGCAGGCGAGGGAAAAAAACCATTCCTAGTGTTTGCCGGGTCTTAGCGAGGGAAAAAGACAAAAAGAAAAAAATCATAACAAAGAGAAACAACTCAGCTTCTTGGTTGGATCCAATGCCTAAATAGCGGGCCAGGCAATTAATTTCAAAAAATCTTGCGATAAGAAAGTCACCAGTATCACTCTCCTGGATCTGATGCTTAGCTGATTTTTCAGGCCCTTTTGCTACTGGTAAGTGGAGCAGCAGCTGCTACTTTACTTTTACTCTCATTTTTTCCCCCATTTTTTCTTTTGGTTGGTAATATTTTTGGAGGAGTAATTGGAATTGGGAGTTTTTGGTTTTTTTTGTGTGTTGGGGGGGTAGTTTGTTCCGGCAGGTGCACTCTGTCCCAAAACTGTACGCAAGTGTTTTGCGGCAATTTCTTCTTTTGCCGAAGTAATAAACAAAAAAAAATGCAGAACTCTTATTTGAGTTCTGTGTTTCCAATTAACTCGTTCATTAGATCTTTCCTTCAAATCCTGTTATCTAAATGGACACATGGTTGGATTACATTTATCCATTCTTTTCCTTAATCATCATTTGTTTCCCTGTTTGATCATTCTGAGATGAGAAAAACTAGTTATTGCGATTGGATTCCTTCAAGATGGAATTTTGCTGCTTAACCAACGACTTAAGCTAACTTGATGGCAAATGGTTCCCACTTCCCACAATCCCCAATCCCCCGAAGAGAAGGTCGGTAAATGGGATTTCAAAACTTTTAATTGTTTGGTGATGAATAAAGCGGGAAGAAGTCATGCCGCAATGGATTGAATATGAACCAGGCAAATTGTTCGGTAGGACCAGGCAAACACTAGGAATGGCAGGCATAATTACTGACATGATAGAGGGAGGGGAAAGAGAGGTGGGATGAAAAAGAGGAGATGGGTGGCAAGCGGTGGAGATTAATGATAGAGGGAGGAGATATCTAAAGTTCCTAAAATACCCCTATTTAATTGGTTAATAAGGAGTTTGATCGATTTTTTTGGTTGCGCCGCCGTAAAATTCTTAATTGAAACCATAACATAAGTTTAGGGATCGAATTGGCCGAAAACAAAAATTATGGATTAAATCGATATTAGAAAAAAGTTTAGGGACGAATTTGGCCATTTTCCCCAAATTTTTTGTAACTTTTTTCAAATTTACCCTCTCATTTAATTTTTTGGGATAATTTCAGATACCTCCCCTGAGGTTTCTGACAGTCTCACTCCCCTCCCCTGTGGTTTCAAAAATACCACAAACTTCCCCTAAAACTAAATAGGCAATGTCAAAGTAGACCCAATTTAAAAATACAAACAATAAAAAATGGGGAGCTGGAGAGAGAAACAACTGTATACCACAAATGCCCTTATTATCTTGCATTAATGAGCTAATCTCATATGAAGAAAAAGCAGGGAATTTAACAAGAATGAAACTTGAAGGGGTGTAAGTGAAACTAATGCATATTCATTAAGGTCTGAACATCAGTAGAATGCAATGGAAGGCAACGGCTCTTAACAATGCCTAGCCATTTTTAGCAACTATGCAATAAATGTTCTGCAAAACCTATATACAGAACAATTCACAAAGCAAATCAATCCAGCTTTTAATAGAAATATGCCTCCAGCTATTGTTCTCACAATTTTTTTTTTCAATCCAGAGCATCCGATCCAAAAGATTAAACCAATAGCATGTAAGCTAAGCTAGAAAAAATAGTAACAACAACCTTTCTTCCTGGGACATGCCAGAATGAATGCAGATAGATGGGAAATTACATTCCACAAGCAATTTGTTCAGCTCAGCAGCTCGGTTCACGCTTTTGACAAATATGACAACTTGGTTAAAGTCCAACGCATTAAGCAGGTCATTCAACTTCCGGTTTTTCTTGAGTTCACTCAACTTGATGTAATGCTGCCAATAGATATCATTGTGTAAAAGAACAGTTTCATACCAAGAGACACAAACTAATGACTAAGTTGATACACACACCTGTACAAGACCATGAAGGGTCAACTTGGCTTCGTCGTCCACATAGATTTCCATCGGCTGAAAGGAACAAATGTCACAGTAAAGCATATTAGGAGCCTTCTTGAAGGCTAATCGAATCCAGTACGTAATGAATGATGGATGAGTATCCCCTGAATTGATGTTCTTGTCCGTCATCGCCTCCTTGGAGATACTTTTATCAATCATACCAACTAGAAGTCACTGTCCCTTGACACGCAACTATGCAACTACAAAACTCTCCAGAGAAGCAACATTCCTACCCAAACCTCCTCCCCTTCTCCTGTACTAGAATTAACGAAAAGCTACCCCAGCCCAAATTTAAAAAAATATAAAATTTAATGACATGAAGGAAAAGCATACAACCCAACTGGAAAAGGATGGCTCCTAACTTATACTCCTTTAGACCTCAAAGAACCTATGGCATTTGCAACCCACCCACTCATGCCAAGGTAGTATCTGCAGTAGAGGATTGACAAACACAATACACATGGTAGTGCTTCAAATACTGCATTCTTGACTAGCTTGCAGAAAGCTCAAATAATGAAAAAGGAGACGTCAAAATTCAAGTAGAGCTAGCCACAGGACATTACATCTGGCATAAACTTCTTGCAAACTGGGCGGATCTCCTTGCTGGGTGTTGCTGAGAACATCATAACTTGCTTGTCATGAGGAGTCATCTTGAAAATTTCCTGCACATCTTGGTATGAGTGGGTGGGTTGAAGTTACTGAAGTTACAATATCAGTTATTGAAGTTACAGAAAATATTAGTTACAATATTAACCATCTTGCAACATTGGTTGCTGAAGTTACAGAGCAAGCATAAGCTTTCTAAGTACTGAGGTTTGGCATCTAACTATATCAAACAACCCAAGTCAGACGAGAAATATAGAATCAAGTAAGCATAATCTGGTAGAGGCTTAGCAAACCAAGTCACATGACAAACCAGAAAATCATATTAAACATGTATCAAGCTTACACAAACAACAACCAAATCATCATAAGCTGCCAAGGAAAATTGAAACAGTAAACAAAATCTTAAACACTGACCTGGTACAAGTTTAACGAGCTAAGAGACTCTTCATCAAAGGTTAGAATCAAGAGCTTTGTTTGCCAACCATCATCTTTTTTGCTATATCTCAACAATGGCTGGAACAGAGTAAGTTTACTGATCTATATGTACCGCAACTTTGAAGCTGTTATGTCAATCACCACATGGCGCCTAAGTTTGGCGCCATTTTGCTGAAGGCCCTTTCCTATATTGGTTGTTAGGATTCTAATTTATCGTTAATTACATTAATTGTGTTTATAACTAACTTAACTAAATTTTTCTAGATAATCATGAAATATTAGCAAACTTGTGAGGGTATTTAAGTCTTTTTGGCAATGATGATGTAAGAAATGGGACCCAATATTTTGACAAGGGAGGTTTGTAATATTTTTGAAACCACAGGAAAGGGGAGTGAGACTGTCAAAAACCTCAGGGGAGGTATCTGAAATTATTCCTAATTTTTTTCGATAACGTAAGTACCGTGCATAGCATGAATATTCACACTCGTTTATAATTATGCAAAAACTTGTGTAGATTTGATCTACAATCTCACACGTAGACCACTTGGTCTACATTAAGCCACATCATCAATCATAATTCTTTGTCCACATATATCATCTTCCCTCATAAAAGCTAACCATGGTTAAAATTGTTGCAACACTAAAACTCCCAAGCTCACGTTCCGGACACGGTCTTCCCATCATAGCGAAGTGTCGAATATTTATTTAATCTAGGCGCCTCTGTCATCAAAACCACAGCCATTTTCACAATCAAATTTTGGGATCCACGAACTATAAGCTTCTCATATTAGTCTTACAAGTTCTATTAAAATCCTTTTCTTTTTTTTTTGTTTTTTGCCTTCCTCTGATGATTTGACCAGCATTTAACGGCTCTGGTGAGTTGTGGCCAAGCTCCGAAAAATCCAACTATTTTCAACATCACTGGAAAAGCAGGAATGGAAGTTGCTGTGAAAAGTGAAAACAAACAAATTTCACCTACTCAAAAAATAATAATCATCTATACAATAATAAAGCCTTTGCAAGTAGTTAATTTGGTGTTAACTTTATGTGTTTCCAAATTTATCTTTATCTCTATTATCCATCAACTCTTATCTATACAATATATAAAGGGAGAATTTCAAAATTTACCTTTATCTCTATTATTCATTAACTCTTATCTATACAATACATAAAGAGAGAGCATCACTGTGTGGTATAACACACAGTGTCATTCTTTAAAATTTATAATATACCCTTAATTATAAAGACAAATTTGTCTCAACAACAGACAGTTATTTGAATCAACAGATAATTATCTATTCAATTGTCAACTACCTACAATTTTCTCGGGCTAATTCGAGAATCTTCTTTACTTCTAGAATATTCATTTCGCGTATGATTATCTACATTATAATGAATTTGATCCATAAAATTCATAAAAAGTTTTTTAAATAGATAATTGTGATAAATATTTTTTTTTTGTTAATTGCACACATGTTAAAGTGTGCGTCAAGTACTAGTAATAATAAAACCACTATTTACCTCCCTAGATCCAATCACAAAATGTCAATGACAAAATCAAACAAACATGGTAGCTTAAAAAATAGAAAATTAGCCCACTAAACTAACAAATTTACACAAAAAACAAAAAATAACCAATATATATCTTGATGTAAAAAAAAAGAATAATAGAGCAAGGATTGACAGAGAAGGAGTTGCAGAAATGAGACAAAGAACAAAGGCAAAAGGCGGGGTTTGTCGAAATGGAAGAAGAAAAGAGAGATGATTCCTAATTGTTGTCCATGAAAAATGTGTTTGGGGAAATCAATGGATTTGGTTATGTGTGGGCAAAAAAATAGGAGGTATAGGAACTGTTTCATTGGCGAGGGGAAGACAGAAGAGATGAGAGGCAGCAGAGTGAGAGGGTTCATGAAGGGAGAGCTCATTTAAACAGGAAATGAAGGCCTTGTTCAATGAAAAAGTCAGATCTGAACTTTTGAGACACTGTAGAAATTTTGGCGATGATGGAAGACAAGAGGAATACTCTTTAATTCTGATTGGACTTTACCGTTTAGAATGGACTTTACCATTTTGAATGGATCAAAATTTGGTGAATTCTTTAGAGGGCGAAAAACCTCAGCGGCCACTAAATTATTGTCTGGATCATGTTTTGGCCATCGAACTATTTTTCGTCAATAATTGGCTATTAAACAACTTAATCAGTAAATCGCAGACCATTTCGTCAGTAATTGCTCTTAATTTCTAAAATTAGCATTACACGTGACAAAGCGCAGGGGCAATTTTGTCCGGCAATTTACTGACCGTTTATTTACATAAACCCATCAACTGAAAAGAAAAAAGAAGTGCAAGCCAATTAAACTAACTTTCATTCTCAAAATTGTTGTAAATAATCTGGGAGCTCAAGCTTAGGGTTTTGAAGATCGAAGAGAAGGGAAAATCGTGGTGAATCTATGGATTGGATCATCAGGAGAAGATACATCGACATTGATCCATATGAAATTTACATTAAGTTTTTTTTTGTGAAAAATCATGTAAATGAACTGAAATTATAGTTTAACCTAAAAGTAATGGGTGTACTACTCAAGTTTATCTCTGACATCGAAGGTGCTTACTTGTGGGTTGTGAATATGTAGCAGTATTATGGGGTTTAAATGTTAGGGTTTTCATCCAACTGTTAGTTGTAAAAGTGACAAATTTTGAACTATATTACATCAACAAGTGTTTTTTCAGCCTTGTTTTTTCAAATGAAGTGATTCCTTTTTTTCCCATTTCATTGCAGTGCCTAATTCTAAACTATTCAGTATTAGAATGTTTCACTGTGGTAGATTTAGTGGGCATCGGTATAAAACATACGTTGGTGGTGAAATAGATTATGTTGATGTGTGTAATGCGGAGAGAATGTCTGTCCATGAGACAAATGCCATGGTTGAGGAATTAGGACATCATGGTTCAATGCTCTACTATTACTTTGAACCTGGGAGTGATTTGAATAAGGGATTAAGAGAGTTACAAGGAGATGCAAATATAAATGTAATGTTCAAATGGGTGTATGAGCACAAACTGATAGATGTTTACTGTGACCATAGGTCAATACATGAAATTCTTGAAATCCAGTCAAATTCCCCACTGTTAGGTAGTAAAAAAAAACAAGGGTTGTAATTGAAGAAATTGATGAACATGACAGTGGAGTTGTAGATGAACATGGCAGTGGAGTTGTAGAACTTGATCAATAATTGGTCGTTAGAAAAAATCTTTTTGGTAGCTCTTTTGTTAGTGCAAATATGACTGCCCCTGGACCAACAATAGGAGGTGCAAGTAGAGGTAAAGGTGTAAGAGTAAGTGTTGTCATTGAGGAAGAAGCTAATGGGATTGGTGTAAAGAGTGGGAGTATGGGAGATAAAGCTGATGTGAATGCAAGGGAAGTTGAAGAAGATGATAAAGATGACAGCAGCTCGAAAGGGAAGCATTTCATTGATGACGAAGAGTTTTGCAAATATGATCAGATGCTTGGGAGTGAGAAACCAACTCCTACAGTTGAAATTCCCCCTCCTATTACGAGGAGAACTATTGTATCTATACTCCATGAGAGCTAGGATATAAATGGCTTGGAAAGTGGTACACATGGAAGTGGTCAACATGATGCCCAAGCTGAAAAACAATCACAGGCAACTGATGGAGCATCTGGTGGTAGCAAGAGAGCCAAGAAAAAGTATGCTAGAAAAACAACAAGAGGGAAAAGAAAGTGGACAGCAAGAAGGGAGATGACATTATCAGCATAGGCTGACCATAACACATCTTCACAGGCTGCTCAGAATACATCACAGGCAGCTGCTAAAGAAATGCAAGAAACTGATGATAAAGATGTGTTGCATGACAACATGATGGAAGATGACCTGCATGGCACTGATGGTTCTTCTGATGAAGATGATGAAGTGCTGAAGGGAATATAATATGTTGACTTCAATGTTGAAAAGGACATGAGAAATCCACATTTCCAGGTTGGGATGCGATTTGTATCATCAACTGAGTTCAAGGCCGCAATCTAGAATTATTCTATTACTAATAGCAGACCTGTTTAGTACTACACTAATGAAGAACTCAGAGTAAGGGTAAGGTGCAAGGATCCAAGCAACTGGGAGTGTTATGCTTCTCAAGAGAAGGCACTTGGGTCGAATGATTTGGTCATTAAGACCCTTTATGATGTACATGAAAACTGCAATCATGCTTGGAAAATAAAATGGTGACTGCTAAATGGGTTGCTGAGAGATACAAGGACAGAATTAGGGCCAATATGAACATTCCAGTCCATTCTTTGAGGCAGACAGTGTATGAGGAGTACAAGATATAAATATAAAAAATAATAGCTAGAAATGCTAGAGGTATAGCTGTTGACAAAATCAAAGGTTGTGCAGTTGAATAGTATAAGCATATTTGGGAATATTGTGAGGAGATTAAGAAGACTCACACTAATTCTGCCATGGTAGTCGAGTTCACCCCATTTAGAGATCCAGGTTCGAATCCTAGGTTCATGAGGTTGTACTGTTGTTTGGGTGCATTAAAGAAAGATTCAAAATGTGTAGACCTGTGATTGGACTTGATGGTTGCCACATAAAAGGCCCTTACCCTGGTCAACTTTTATCAGCAGTGGCAGTTGATTCCAACAATGGTTGGTAACCTATTGCTTGGACCATAGTGGAGAAGGAAGCTACAGTCCAGTGGAAATGGTTCTTACAACTTCTCCAAGCAGATCTGGAAATAGATAAACAGTATCACTACACTTTCATCTCTGATCAACAAAAGGTAAGGATCTTATTATCCATCATTTGGTGTGAGGCTTGTGGCTACTTGAAGCAATAATTCATTTCTTTTTGGTACAGGGATTGGACAGAGCATTATCCGATGTGCTACCCAACTCTGAGCATGAATACTGTGTGTAGCACATGTATCGAAATTTCAAGAAGAAACATCCCGGAAAGGCACTTAAAGGGATGCTACAGTCAACAGTTAGGAGCAGCACAATTGAGATGTATAAGAAAGCTGCTGAGGACTTGAAAGAGTATGATAGTGAAGCATACAAGTGGATGGAGAAGGCTCCTCATCCGATGCATTGGTGTAAGGCTTACTTTTCTCCTCACACTAAATGTGACATGATTGTCAATAATCTATGCGAGTCTTTCAATTCACATATACTAGAGGCCAGAGATAAACCAATTATATCTTTATTGCAGAAGGCTAGAGAACTGATGATGGAAAGAATTCAAAAAAGAAAGGCTGCCATGACTAGATATCCACACTCAACTGGTCCTTTGATTAGAAAAATTATTGAGGACAGAATTGAAGAGTCTTTCCAGTGGTTCCCACAATTCAACGGGATTGATGGTTATCAAGTAAAGTGCCCAAGGAATTCCCAGTTTGCTGTGAATTTGAAAAAGAAGAGTTGCACTTGTCGAATTTGGGAATTATCTGGTTTACCTTGTACCCATGCCATTGCAGCAATTAAGCAAACTGAGAATGATCCACATGAAATGATTGCGGAATGTCACTACAAAAGGTTATTTTTACAGGTTTATAATAATGTCTTGCAACCCATCAGTAGCCAACTACTGTGACCTGAGTCTAGCACTCTTCAACTCGATCTTCCAATTTCCACTGTCCAACCTGGGAGGCCAAAAAAGGCAAGGAAATGAGATGAGACAGAGGGAAAGAACCATGGAAGAAATCTTAGAAAAAAATGTCACTATGCATTGCAGAAAATGTGTTAAAACAGGGCACAATGCTGCAACATGCAAAAAGGTGACTGAGCACCAAAAATCTGGTCAGCCAAAAAAGAACAAACAACCTGTAAGGATACATACAGCTTGTATTCTAAATGTTTTACATGTAGTCTCTAATCAATTCAACTTCTATTTGTACAAGGTTTCAATAAGAAAACAGCAAGCAAAAGTAGTCTAGTCATATGGTTTAGAGACCCAACGACAACAGCAATAGCAACAGCAAACTCCATTAGCTAACCAACCAATCGCATCTGCGACTCAGCAATCAGATCTAATGTCCCAACACCCAACTCCACCACTTCAGCAGTCAATACCAGTAGCCACCTATTTCAACAGCCAATACCAGTAGTTCAACAACCAAATCCAGCAGCTACAAGTTCTAGATCTGGCATGAAATTCAACAGAAATGGTAAACAGCCCTTGACTGATGCTGACACACTAAACCAAGATTTCCCCTTTCTTTCTCTTTGATGGTTTAATGAAAATTGAGGTAAACGGTCAGTAAATTATTAAACAAAATTGCCCTTGCACTTTGCCACGTGTAATGCTAATTTCAGAAATTAAGAGCCATTACTGACGAAATGGTCACATGTTTTCTGATAAATTGTTTAGTGGCCAATTATTGATAAACAATAGTTCGATGGTCAAAATATGATCCGGACAATAGTTCAGTGGCCGCTGAAATTTTTTACCCTTCTTTAGAATATAGCTCCTTTAAAAAAAAATCCATCAAATATTACTCCTTAGAATGCGTGTATCCACCTGTACCCGTTGTGCCACGAGAAATATTTAATAGATTTTTTTTGAAAGCAGCCATGGTTTAAGGAATTCGCCAAGAGCCATTTAGAATTGGAATTCAGCAATAGAAACCATGATGTAGCTTAAATTAGACCACAAGGTCTATATGTGGGGTCATAGTCCGGGTTTATCCAAATATTTGCCCTACAATTGTAGTCCAAGAAGTGCACCCAAGCAAATTATTTCCGTCGTACTTTCTATTTTATAATGTCTTAAAATATTTATTCGATTGAAAAAATTAAAGTATCTTTTAGATTCTCACTTTGATACAGTCCCTTCATCTAATCATATGCATGTTATCATTTAAATTTAAAATTTAAATTTACGAGAATAAAATTAAAAAAAGAAACACAAATATCAGAATCAAATTACTATTTTTAAAAGATTGGATTCCTGAAACTAAATAATTAGAATTCGTACCGTACCGATCACGTTAAAGTTATCTCAATAATGGTTGTCATACTCATAGTGTACCTGCCACGTGAAAGTTAATAAAATATCAGATGAGAGTCATGAGACAAGTCTTCTTGTCAACAAACTCTTATTCATCCCGTCGGCGGAGAAATAGAGTGATGATGGAGTGAGAGTAGGGTTGCAAATGAGCCGAGTCGAGTCGAGTTTTGAGCTAATCGAGCTGAGTCTCGACTGAATTTTACCAAGCTCGAGCTCGAGCTCGACGAGCCGGCAATTTTCAAGCTTGAGCTCGACTCGAATCAAGTCGAGCCGAACTCGAAAAAAATTAAAAATAATTATTTTATTTTTAAAAAAATAAATAAAATAATTTTTTTCTTAATAAATAAAAAATATTAAGGATATATACGTAATTTTACTATGAAAATAAAAAATAAAAAATATATATATAATATACGTATTTTTATTATTAAATAAAAATAAAAAAAATAAAAAATATATATATATATATACTCAAGCTCGCGAGCCGGCTCGCGAGTTAACGAGCTTAATATTCTGAGCTCGAGTTCGACTCGAGCCGGCTCGAGCTCGATATTAATCGAGCTTGACTCGACCGCTCGCGAGCGACTCGATTCGTTTGCAGCCATAAGTGAGAGACGCGCACTAACACGAGCAAAGTGCTGCAGTTTGTGGTTAAAAAATTAACTGGCTCATCAAAGATGCACAACGCGCCTGGCAAGGAGTGTGGCCCTTAAACATGTAAACTAAACAAACTAATAACCATTAGATAACATTAATTAAAATTAATTCAAAATCCTGGAGATAAAAAGGTTTGTTAGAAATTGTATTTGTGATGTAAGCAAATAATTTTTGACTAAATAATGGCTATTCAAACAAACTTAATACCCTTGTTTTATGCAAAACACTATTCACTTCCTCATGATTATTAACTCGTATTGATCTACAACTGGCAGCTCATTCTGGAAGATCTAAGTTGATTGTCAAGTACTTTTTTTTTACTATAACGATAACATTTATATAACATAATCTATTCTACTCTACATAGAGGGGGAGTCTAAAGAGATTGTATAAAGAGTTAACAGGTTTACGGATTCGACTAGATCAAAGGGGTGAACTGACATCTTTTTTGAATTTTTTTCATTATAGGTGAGTTTCGAAATCTCGACTTCCAATCCAGAGAGGGACTTAATCCCTTTTTTTTTGGTGGTTGATTGTCAAGTTCTTGCTGGAGTAAATTATCTCAATTTCGATCTTGAGATCCAAGAATTCAGCTGAATGATTACTCATTAATAATAAAATAAAGACAGCCGATAATGGTCAAACCAGGCCATATTAATGCTTAGTGACAACTCATGATCATTCTGAAATGTAAATGCGTCCGATCAAGCACTAAGACAATTAGAATTCGAGCTTCTTAATAACAATTTAACAGAAAGAATACACTCTAAATGACACTGCATAGCACGTGATAAGCAGCACTTTTATCAAGAAGATCTTATTAAAATTATTTTCCAGCATGCCTGCGTTCACATCTTACTCTTACAAACCAGCAATTAGAATACTTTGAGGACTAACTCCATTTGACGTCTCTAAACTTGTATTACTTTTTTACTTTATATTCTAAACTTCAATTTTAAACACTTTACATCCTAAATTTTTAATTTTAGATACTTTATACTCAAAACTCTCAAGTTTGTCCCATTTAAATTTAATTAATAATTACATTAAAATTAAAATTAAAATTAATGGAAACATACTATTTTGTTCTAACTGCAAGTTCTTAACTTTTTTGACCACTTTCAACATATTGTCATTGATTTATATGATTTTAATCACTATCATTAACAAAATTAACGAGATAAAAGATGATAGGAATTAATGAAAAAGTACTATTTTATTTTTGTTATGATACTTTGACACCTTTTGATCATTTTTTGCGCATTACCATTGATACGTTCGTTCTTTATGTCATTAATTTTGCTAAATTTATCATCAATTGGATTTAATTGAAGAAACTTGAAAGTTTAAGGTACAAAGTGTCCAAAATTGAGAATTTTGGACTTAAAGTATTCAAAATTGAAGTTTAGAATGCAAAGTGAAAAAATGATACAAGTTAAAAGAAATTCAAACCGAAATTAGTCCACATTTTGAAGATGCAAAAGACAATAAAAAAGAAAAAAATATCTTCACTGTTATATATTAGGCGAGAAACTTAAGCTGAGAGCTACACTACAATATTTAATCCTCCGTGAGTATCTTCTTCTTCCGGAAACGAAATTTGACTAACTAAACCTATTCCCAGAAGTCAACCCAAAAACCGGCAACTCTTGAATTGCTCCCAGGGATTTAACTACCCAAATCTCAACCCTCCGTGAGTATCATTCTTGGTTTATTTTTAGTGTGGTACAGAGCTGAAGTAGAATATTTACAATAAATCCATCAAACTCAACCTGGGGCCACCACCGCATTACAAGATTATCTATATGATTTTTTTTTTTAAAGTAAAACTAGCCATAAAGTCTACGGCGACCAAGTAGTTGAAATAGGATAAAACAAGAAGATGCAGAAAGTCTAATGGCGACCAAGTAGTTGCTGAAAATACTGCAAAGATAGCATCCAACAAGAAAGCAATACAATGGAACTGCCTTTCAACTTCATTGCTTTCTCTCTGTTCTTAGCCTTTGTTTTAACTTTGATCAAGGGAATCAAGAGATCAAAAGAACCCCAGAAACTACCACCATCTCCTTGGAAACTACCTATTATTGGTCATATGCATCATTTAATAGGCTCCCCACCACATCATGCTCTCAGAAAATTAGCTCAAAATTGTGGACCCCTAATGCACATTCAGCTAGGTGAAATATCTTCGATTGTGGTAACTTCACCGCGTTTGGCGAAGGAGATCATGAAAACTCACGATCTTGCCTTTGCAGACCGCGGAGAATTTCTATCTGGAAAGATCATATGCTACAATTGTTCAGACATCGCTTGCTGTCGATATGGTGACTACTGGAGACAAATGCGTAAAATATGCACCTTGGAGCTCCTTAGTGCTAAAAGTGTCCGATCATTTGCTTCTGTTCGCCAAGATGAGGCTTTGCATCTGATATCATCGATTAGGGTTCTAGCTGGTGCTCAAGAACCAATCGATTTAACAGAAAAAGTGTCCTCATACACCAGTTCCGTGGTTTGCAGAGCAGCATTTGGGAAAGTAAGCAAAGATGATCATGTTGCATTCTTGCAGCTACTCAAAGAAGTAACTCGCCTAACAAGTGCCTTCGATATTTCTGATCTGTTTCCATCATTCAAGATTCTTCATTTTCTCCTTTCAGCGGAAACTAAACTTCTTAACATCCACCACAAGGTAGATAAAGTTTTGGATAAGATAATCAATCAGCATCTTGAAAACCTATCAGAAAGAAAAACATCCACAGGTGAATACGGCCATGAAGATTTAATTGACGTCCTATTACGAGTTCAAGGAAGTGATGAACTCCAATTTCCAATTACCAACAACAATATCAAAGCTGTTATTGTTGTAAGTATTCGACCAATTTTTGTCCGGTTATCACTACATCTTTTAGTCTCTAACCAAGAATTTATGC